CCCGGGGCGATCCGGGGCAGCCCGCCACGAGCTGTGCCGCATTACAAGCATCGGGTTGAAACGCCGGGGACCACGGAAAACGGAACAGGAAACAGAAGAGGGCACTTGCTTTCTTAGGAGGTTTATAATTCACGTTTAAATAATCTAACTGCCATAGTGTCTGGTATTTAAGGACCCCAAGTGCAAAAAGGTAAAGCTTACAATAAATATTTAAACCCCAGCATTTTTATTGAATCTCCCGGCATATTTTGATATCCATTCTGCTAGCCTGCGGCGTCTGTGAATCATCTTGACATGGTAAATGAAATTCCTTTAGACCACCAGTCTAAAATAATGAATTGTTCCCCCGGTTAATTGTATTGCTTTGATAACAAGGAACTGTGCTAGGCCTAGAGAACGCAATAAGTGGATTTCATCAGATGATTTGTGTGACGTTTTGAAAAATGATCCTCTGGACTGACCTGATTTTCCTGGGACTCTAACGGCGCCGGCGTGAGCCGCTGCGCAGCCTCCTCCTGGGAGCCAGGACTTCCTCTTACGGTTTGGGGAGCATGGGGTCATCACCAGGTAACTGGTCACTGGGAAACCGTTCCCCGGGAAACCTATACCAGGAGGAAGGGTTTGCCTCAAAAAGCAAAACAGAGAACTTACTTCTAAGTTGCTCTTGTTTTATTGACACATACACTTTTTTAATCCAGGAGAGATCTCAAGCTATGTTTATCTCTTCATCGCAGGTATAAAAATAAACCAAATAGCAAGCAAAAGCTATTTATGGAGAACTTGCTATATATAGCCAGGGAGTCAGGCACCATAGCTTGTTTGCGTTTTGGCAGAGACTAAAAGATAGGCAAATGTGTGGGAAGTCTTTAGAATGGGAAAAAGAGGCTTCCAGGACACCCTGACTGGGGGCTGTGGCCTCACGAAGCTGGAGGCGGGCCCATTAGAGGCAGGGCATCTTGTATGGCTGTTAGGAGAGCCTATTTTCTTTTCTCTGATCGGTCCTGAGTTGGAAGCAGGGACAAAAATTACAGAAGCTGTCACTTATGAATCAAGTCCTGGGTATTTGGGGTCCATTGATAGAAGGCTAATAATTTGACTTCCGCAATTGCTGTTAGAGACTGCAGTGTAACTTCCGACAGGTGTGACGGAGCAGGGGGCGTCTGTGCTGGTTGTTGTCTCGGAGGGTTGGTTTCCTGGGCAGGTCGCTGCCGCTTGTGGGCCAAGGTCCTGTTTTTCTACATGGTCTGGCCATTGCCTATTTGTATATTCAGTCTCTCAGCAGCATATAAATATTACATTGCGGGGAAAAGGGAAGTAATATTGTCTTTTTGAAAGAACCACGGACTTGATGTTTCTTTTCATCAATTAAGAAAATTAGATTCCCCACTATAAAGCATGCTGAAGGGAAATGATAGAAATGACTTTTATTTTTATTTTTCTCTTTTTCAATGAGTCTTCCATGCACTCGACAATTCAGGAAGGCAGGCGGCCTCATTGCTCTTGTCTCCTCTAGTGGCTAGGCCCTCTTTAAGGTTGAACAGGGACCCAGCAATTTTGGGGTTGCTGATGTGTTCTCCAAATATTAAAACACAAAGAAATGCAGGCATAGTAATAAAATCTTGTGCCCAACAACCACTTGGCATGCTCGCGTGCGCACACACACGTAGCTATTACAATTAGTATGCTACTTATTAATAACCCAACAGGGTTTGTACAGCAGAATATCTCATGGTGTGCCTCAAGCTGCGTGGTGCAATAAAGCACAGAAGCTTAAATCTGAATGAAAGCCTCACTTGGCCCATCAAGAAGATGAGACCTGGGCAAGTGGCCCTCCCAGTGTCCTCTGTGAGCACACCCAGTGGCCACTCAGACATCACTGGGGGAGGAACGCAGGGTTTCCTACATTCATCTTGCCACTTACACAGAATCTCAAAACGCCCTTCGTTTTCCATTTTCATAAGAAAAGACCAAAAGCTGTCAAATTAAAATAAGCATGATTTGCAATTTCATTTGTAAATTAAGAACTGAAACATGGTTTACGATTTATTATTTTCAACTGAATGTGCTTCCAAGCTCACGAACCATTACTAAACCCAGGATGTGTTGTGAGAGACACTACTTTAATTAGGCTTTGGACTTCGTATACCCTGAAATACAAAGACACAGTGACAGTTTTGAATTAGCATACCATTTCCCGTCAACTGTTTACTTCTCTACTGGCACTGTACCTTCTGCAAGGGAACTGGCCTGAGTAGCCCCATGTAAATAGGGAAGTATTTGTTTTGTCAGAACTGCTTCGGTCACACGATAGCTTAATGAATAACATGATTTCATATTTGGATGCTGCGATCATTGAAATTAGTGTAAGTGGTCTCTGTCCACATGAAAGGAGGTACATACATATTATTTGTCACATTTGGCCATCTCGGACTGGATGGTGCCAGGAATGAAATCACAGAAGGCTGCGAATGATGACAGCGATACGCCAGGAGATGAAGGTCTGTCTGAACTGAACTTTTGGCTGGCACAACCATGGCCTGTGAGTTTCTTCCAAATAATGTGCTTCAGTTCCCTCCCTTAAAGAAATAACAAAACAAGTATTTCCTAGAGCAGAATAAGTGACTAAAACATCTGTGTTGGACAATTAAGAAGTTCATATGTTCTTTTCAAAGGTCAGGAAAGCAATTTGTATTTGAACTTTGACCCTTTGATCTTGCATTGTCTCTAAGAAATTCAGGATAATATTTAATATCCTGAAATAATACATCATTTAACAGCATCCATTAAAAGGTAAACATATAAGATTATTAACTTAGCCGGCAATCGCTGTAATTGTTCAATCCCTTCCCTCTAACACCGTCAACGTCTCCTTCACAAATAGCTTCTCTTCAGTTTGCAAAGCTACTCGAGGCTTCTTTTTTCCTTTAGAACACCCATGTACTCAGGTAATGATACACATCTCCATGTACTTCACATGACCTCGCTGTTTCTCCTAGAAACCAGTTTAGAATAAATTGACCTACAGGAATAAAAGAGCGTAATGACACGTTTCCTAGGGTGAGATCAACAAGTGAGGCCTCTGACAGCAGCACAGCGAGGAGCTGTCTGTGAAGGCTCGGGGACTGGTTCAGCTCGGCCTGGAGTCAGATCCCTGAGGTCTTACAGAAGGCACTCTGGTCCCTAGGTTTAGGATGTGATGTAGTATATTCTGTTTTACTCAAGAATTATAGGGGACTCAACAGAAACAGAAATGATTTATGGGTAGCTGTGATAAACCAAGGTATCTGTTTGTATCTGCTTTTACAAACTTAGGGAACTCTTTATTATCCCTGAGCATCCTACCAGATGTTCCTGTCAATCCATGGACAACAATGTGTAACTAAACAGTATTTTTTGGGATCGCCCAAGAGAGCTAGAGGTCACTTTCATGTTGATACTCTGCTGGTAACACTAAGGCCCTTTTCTAATATTTAAGATGTTTGTCAGCTAAATTTCTATAGGTTATCTTTTGTCCACATCCACTCGTACATAACACAACTTTATCCCTGGGGTGCTTTTGGTCTTATTCATAAAAACAGTTTAAGGGAATGAAAAGATAAGCCACAGACTGGGAAAAAATATCTGCAAAACACACATCTGGTAAAGGATTGGTATTGAAAATGTCAAAGAAATCTCTTAAAACAGCAATGAGAAAACAAATAGCTCAATTAAAAAATGAACAAAAGATCTGAATGGATAGCTCACCAAAGAAGACATACATATGACAAAAAAAAGCATACAAAAAGATGTTTGACATAATGTTAGTGGGGAATTACAAATGAAAATAACAATGAATTAGAGCCTCATGCCTATTAGAATGGCTAAAATCCAAAACACTGACAACAGCAAATGCTGATGAAGATGTGGAGCAACTGCAACTCCCATTTCATTGCTGGTAGTGATGCAAAATGGCACTACCACTTTGGAAGACAGTTTGGCAGTTTCTTCCAAACAGAAATGTAGGCTGACTGTGCAACTCAAAGATCATGCCCCTTGGTATTTGTGAATTGAAAACTTACATTCATACAAAAAGCTTGCACATAGATGTTTATGGCCGCTTTATTCATAATTGCCAATAAATGGAAGTAATCTGGATGCCCTTCAAAGGATAAACAAGTTGTGGTCCATCTATACAATGGAATATTATTCAGTGATAAAAAGAAATGAGGCATCGTGCCAAAGAAAAGGATATGATGGAACTTGAAGGTATATTGCTAAGTGAAATGAGACAATCCAAAAAGGCTTATATTTTACTATTCCACTTGTGTGACATTCTGGAAAAGGCAACACTATAGGGACATTTTTTTAAAAATCAGTCATTACTGGAGGCCCAGGTGAAGGGAAGAAATATATTGGTAAAGTACAGGGGACTGTTAGGGCAGAGAAGTTATTCTATGTGGTGTGCACCTGATGTTACACATTTGTCAAAACGTATAGAGCTGTTCAATGCCAAGTGTGGACCCTAATGTAAACTATGGACTTTAGTTAATAACCATGTATCAGTATTGGTTCATTTTTTTATATAAACCTTAAACTTCCCTAAGAAATTTTTTGAAATTTTAATGCAATGACCTTTGTCCCATACACACACACACACACATGGAAATGGTAACACTGGAAATTCCTTGTACATTCATAGCAAACCTGTGTTCAGACCTAGAAACGAAGTTGTGGGTCATATCCACAACTCACTGTGATATTTTGTCATCTCTGAATTTGATTGTCTGAAGTTAGAGCCAATTAACTTTGTTAGACCCTTGTTCTTCTTTCATGAGTGGAGTTCATATGTCCAAGTTCAGAAACATCATGAGTAAAGACTAAACAACTTGGTAACTTCCAATAAACAACTAAATGTTTGATAACTGAATGTAAAACCATACAGTTAAGGGGCTAAGCCACCACTGTTGCCAGCCTAGAAACACCTAGCCAAACATTTCAAGGCCTCTTTCCTTTTCTTCCAGGTCTCGCCATTGCCAGTGCCCTAGTAGATATTTCACAACAGAAGCCTTCAGATAGTAAAGACAAGACTTCCGGAGTCCGCAACCGAAAGCACCACCTCTCAACACGTCAAGGAACTTGTGTCTGAGAAACAGGAATTGCCCCTGGATAATTTGTACCGTTTCACTTTGTCAATGGCTTCCGTTAAGGCTGATCTATGGCCTCAAGTTTTATGGAGGCAAAACTCTGGATGGTCCCAGGACCCAAGTACAGTTCCCTGCAAATGGGCAATGACCCAAGTGGCCAAAGAATGTTCATGAGTTTTATAGAAGTAACAGTATTGAAGGTCAAGGGTGATAAAGTCAGTTTTTACGACTCTCTTAGGCGTATCCTAGAGAACATTAAATTGCTCTGGAAAAAGATGTATATTGTTTCTTATGCAGATGAAAAATATGTAATTCATATAAACCAAACTGTTTATATCCCAAGACATTAAAGAAAGACATTTTATAATGCCTGAACAATGAGAATTGTACAGTTTTTGCCTCATAAGCAAACTTAAAATCACTTGTATATGAACAGGAAATGAAGAAATCACAATGGCTTTAAATACTGTTTTCTCTCACTGTAAATGTAACTGCAAGATTTTGATTTAGTAGGATGTAGGCAGTGTATTTAAATATTTCACATGACAGTATCACGTTCAAACTCATTTTGAGAATGTGGCTATTTTCCACCTAACTGGAATGCAGAAGCAAACGAGCACATTCTGACGGGTGGTAGGTGCCCCTTCACAGGAGGTTTATTAGGATTCTGAGTGAAGAGGACCTTCCTGCCGTCCATGCCAACCGCCTAACTCATTATCAGACCTGATAGAGCATGGGAAGGCCTGTCCAGCAATCAGTTTCCCCTCCTTCCAAACACAGCCTCCAATGCCTCAGACCTGCAGAGAGCGGCAAGAGCTGTTCTGCTCTAACATGGTGATTTTTAATTGCCTAGGAACCGTCGGATCAGACCTAAACAATCCCTCTGCATTTTTGTAAGAACAGATCATCTTTTTTTGGTCTTCCTCTCCCAGCTGCTAGATTTCGTCTACCTTTTACAAATGCGATGGAAAGTATTGTGAGGCGACATCTCCCAAGTTATAATATGGCCCAGGTCCCTTCCTGCCAGCCATTTGACTGAGAATACAAGCAGGGAGGAGTATTTGCTGGCAAGCATCTGCAGAATTCTCATTTCTAACATGAACACATTAGTGGCATGAGAGAAAGTCTCCAGTGTAAAAAATAAGTTCATTATTGCCCCCATTCAGCCTATTATTAACAACTCAAAATCAAATTATGGCAGAAAAGAAAAGTGATGTATAATGGCTTTCACATTGGGACATAGGATCCTGTGTGTCCTGAGTTTGACCACCGTTCATGAGACCTCAGTGGCATTACAGATCTTATTGGGAATTATAGGTCCTTACTTTAGGGTGACTGCAAGGTATTTGTAGAGAACACTGAGAGGTATCCAAAGCTGCTTTACATGATAGAGTTTTGTTCAATATGAAAGTCATTGAAATATGTTTGATGTTTAGAACTACATATGTACTCTTCACATTCTTTGGATTTCTGGAAGGTAATGAATGACACGTCACTGTTTACAGCTAACGCATAGTTACTTGCATGCTATGGTTGTGCAGTAGCGGAACACGACCCTATTGTGATATTAAATGTTGATTTTATAATGCCATTTATACATAGCTTTAATTTGATGAGGATCGAATGTAATATATATCAGGAATGATCACACAATATGTAGTTGCATCGTATATAAGATTGCTAGGTTGCTTCTAACCATGACTATGTCATTGTTTTAATAATTAGGCATTTATGAATTATAGTATATATTCCTTATGTTCGCATGATAATTTTGCTATTTTCCATGCGTTAAAAATAAGACTAATTCTTAGAGTAATTTTATCTATAGCCTGTGGGGTTTTCGTGGGGGCTGGGAGTGGAACTGGATTTTACCTCCCTATGATATTTTATCTCTCAAAAAAAAAAAAGTGAGCCAAGTTTGTAAATGTCTCCTAAAAACAATCAAGCAATTTTATTAGCTTCCTTTTTGGACCCTTTAAATGTTACTTTTTCTCCTGGAAAAATAAATTGACAAAAGTGGTGATTACAAAAATATAATCATTTAAAAATAAAACGATTGCCCAACTTGTGTAATTCTCTAACGACTGTCATAAAAGAAAGCTTATTAACAACAATGTACAGAGTTGTATGTAAAATCTGTTTCAGTTCTATTTTTAGAGAGTCTGAGCAAACAGTATTACTATGAAAGAATTGTCAACCTTCATCCACCTCGAATCCCATCAGGTTCTTAAAATTTGAAAATTTGAATTTTAGAGAATTATGGGGCGTAATGCAATGTTAAACTCACAATATACTTTCCTGGGCCAAATATTGCTAACTTTGTGATTAATTATGCAATATCTTCTCAACTTATCAAAGCTTTTTTACTGGAAATAAAATTATTCACCCTCAGGTGAAGTGGATTGAAAAGACCTTAGGGATAATAACTTTGAATGTTTCATGTTACTGGATATTTGTGTCCCCTTATCACAACAATTTTAATTTTGTATGCTTCCTTTTGATTTCAACCCAACCACAAGTATGCAGAAACTCTTTGAGAATTTAGCAAGTAAATGACTGATTCTCTTGAAAGCTTATCTTAATGGAATTCTGTATATATCAATTTAGAATGACTTTGAAAAATTCTTTAAATTTTTAGAATTTATTATTCTTCCACATATGAAAATTTTTGGTTAAATGGAATGGAGTTTTTTTTTAATTAACCTGGGGACACTATTTGGACCCAACTAGAGAATTCTTGTTGAAAGATGGCACATGCTTACTGTTTGATTTAATAAATATTAAGAGGATCAGGACTTTTGTAATTGCTTTTAAATGAAAATTTATTCCAGGGATACACATGGAAAATGTATGCCATATAAGACTCTATTATGTTCACTAAGAAAACTTGAAATAGGACTTAACTCACTGTGTAATCAATACTTACTGTACTTCGCAACCACTCATTTTTTGGGGGGTTCCAGTAAAACAGTGTGACTGTTGTCATACGGCAGGGACACTTAAAGTGCAGACTGGCTATGGTCCTGAGAACAGACATTGGAACCAACTTTGAGCTGCATGATGCTGGGCAAGTTTTAACCTTCGAAGCCGTGGACTTTTCACCTGCGAGGGGAGGTAGCGGTGCCCAGATGGTGGACGTGGTGTGAGCCCAGAAGGCAATAAACATAAAGCTCCCACCACAGTGCAGTGCAGCTGCTAATAACCATCGTGGGGCCACCAGGCCACTCTTTTCTACCCATTGCTTTATGAATCCATCCTTTCACCACAGGGAAAAGCCAGGTAGGTTCTCACAAGTGAAGATTTCATGAAAATCTTGAGTAAGTTCCTACATTTCTAGGATATAGAGATTTCTCAAAAATTGCTTTGATATTTCGGTCAATAGAGGGTTTGATTCTTTCAAAATATATACCGTTTTAGTAGAGTAATTTTTAAATTACTGCTTGATGGCATTTAGATGGGAACATCAATGGCCACTTTCACTTTCAAATTAGTCAAAAGCAGATCAGCCCTTACATTTGGTTGTCATATGTGGAGCATCTTTTTATTCACTGAATAAAAAACTATGATTTGAAAAGTGTCTTATAGAAAAGGTTTTTAAAATTAAAAATGATCAAATAAATCAACTCTGCCCACGTATACTTTTTTAAAAGGTTGACTTCCAAAGCGCATCGGACATTTTACCAGGGTAGATGTGGAACTTGATCATAAGACTAGCCCAGGCCGGTACAGATTCCTACCTTTTCTCTAGAGATGAAGATGCAGAATGACTGGATCGGGCCCTGGAGATTAATATGCTTAATAAGCTCGTCAGGGATTCTTATGATTAGGCAAATTAGGGAAACACTGCCCTGGGCCAAAGAGCTGCTTTTCTCAACAGTTAGGAGAATTTATTTTAAGTAATGAATTCACACTCTAATTCAAAAAGCTTTAAATATTTTTCCAAGGAATATAAGCCATCTGGTTGGTATCATAGCAGTGTCTTCACTTTCGTGTACATTTAACATTTTAGTTTTCTCAAATTTTTTTAAAAGTAAGAATTAGAACCATATCAGTGTGTATGTATACAGGTGTGCATGCCAGTGTTAGATTGTATAAAAGTTCAAACCTGCTTTAAAAAGCAAACATTTTATGATATCACGTGCTATTAATCAGGATTAAATTACTGAAATAAAAACATTGGATCTCCCAACCCCCACTGCCAGATGAAGTTTTGTTGTTTTTTTGTTTTTTTGTTGGTTTTTTTTTTTTTTACTCTTCCAAGATGATGCAGGAAAAAGCACTCAGCACCTGAAAAGTGCCCTCCTGCCCCAACTTCTAAAACTGGATTATAAAATTTGTGTTATTGAACTCCACATTCAAAATACATTTTCTCTCTTCCCCTTTTTACCTCATTTTCATTGGCTTTTTCTCTGTGACTCTTGGAACACTTAGAATGTCCCCGAGGGCGGAAGAAACTCACAAGGCCCGAGTGGCCAGGCTTCCAGCTGTCACTGACCGTCTCTGCCCAGACCATGTGTTTTATGTTTACATAACTTGTTTTTGCTTATGATAAAGGTCCTCTTTCTGCGACTGGTGCAGCTGTGGCATAGCTGAGGAATATTCTAGAAAAGCCCACTTGTTCTTCGGCATGCTTTGGACTGAGTCCCTGCGTTGCCCCCTGCGTTCCGGCCTTATGTCAGTGCCGCTGCTCTGCTGGGTCTCTGTCTGGAGTCACAGAGAAGGAACAGCCCAGGAGAACCCAATGCCTCTCTTCTTTCCAGCCCCCACAGAAGGACCAAGCATGTGTGACCTCTGTTTGACTCAGGTCCTCAGGCCAGCTCTCTGCCTCCTAACCCGAGGCCAAAATCTGAGGTTGGTCCTGCCTGTGCTCTAGAAGATGGCATCGTGGTTGCCTCCCCACCCCCATCACACCCTCCGGCAGTCAGGCCAAGGAAGAAGCTGGGACCAGGAGGCCCACTTAGCCTCGAGAAACACATGCAGCCTGGCTGGCATCTCCCAGAAGCGTTAGAAGAGAAAGAGAAGTTTGGGAAAGATGAAGATGCACCTGAAGGAGAGAGAGCTGAGTAGAATCCCAGGGCCCCTTTCCCTGACAATAAAAGCAGCAGCTTCTCTGACATCCATGCCTTACACACATTTTAGCTTTTTGACAGTGGGTCAGTGGCTAGCGGGAGATTCGAAGATTTGGGCTCAAAACTGCCTTTTCTCTGCCCTGAAGAGGTTTCTTCATAGAAGTCACCGGTGAGTGGCCAGAGTGGGGGCAGGCATTTTTTCAGCTCTAACCCGCAACCCCTTCTGATGAATACACAACTCCCTCTCCAAATTCACATGGGTTTTCCTACTCGTGCGCTCTCATGGTCCCTGGCATAGGCTGTAACAGCTAAGATTCTGTTGAACTTTATTTTCTCTGGCCCTGCTAATGAAAACAGCAAGTAGTAGTATTTTGCTTTCCGAAGATGAGAGTACAATTTTGGTTGAGCTCTTGTAAATTGCACCCCTTCCCCATTTGACCACACCTGCCTACCAGGGGACCCATCCTTTCTTGAAATAATTCTGCCCCATTCAAGGACTGGTTGTGCAGCGGTCCTAAGTGACCAGCAACCAGACCCTCTGACCACTGCAGAAACGCTGTGTGCTACTCGCTGTCAGAAGGTTTGACAAATTTTATATGTTGCAGAAAAGTGAAATTTTCACTCAGGCAAGATAGCTATTTAAGCATGAGCTTTAAACCAGCCGTGTGCATTGGGAGGAAGGAGATACTGCTCTAGAAATCCACCTAGGAGAATGGCATTAGCGAGCAAATCCTTGTAAAAGTTCTTTGCGCTTCTATGGCCCCTTTGCCAAAAGATGTCTTAAAGTTTATGTTTTCCAGTGATGTATAAGTATCTTAGAATAGGTCCTGTGTGAGGACACACTCGAGTTTTAATGTGAACTCAAATACCAAATTTTTCTAATGCCTTGGGCCAGTTCCCTACACCATTTGTAAGTAAACTGAGATAAAAGTGGTCGCCTCTATCACCTATGTGTTGTGATGAGTTTCTGCTGTTGAAATGTGAAATGGATCAGAGTTAGATATTTTCTCCTTTTACTTTGAAAAGGTTCAAGATTAATTCAGGGAATCACAGCAATGATTATTTTCCCTTGGAGATATATATATATATATTTTTTTTTTTTTAATTTGGTAACACTAAAGTGCACATATGTGCCAAAATTCCCAAATAATTAAATTGCAATAGGAACCAATGATGTGTTACCCAAGTTGTGCTTTTC